GCCCCTATTTACGACACTGCTTGTATAGTCACGTTTCTTTTTTTTTCCAAGGTGTCACAAAATTTATCTGTATTGTACTAACACCTTAAACTCTGCACAGCCTCTGGAAGATGACTACTCTCAAACTGCATCAACATTGTCTCCAACACTCTCGAACTCTAAATGTTGTTGAAGATGAACCTGAGTGTCTGGTGCTTCCGAAAAGACAAGAAAGGTAATGTTTTTTATTATAATACATGTATAAGTAACTAGTACATATTTGTATTAAGACTACTTATTGCAAGCTGAACTTGTTTCTAACCAAGGGTTGTGATCACTCTCACCCAGGGCTCATGATATATTTTAGAGTGGAACCTATAATATCAAAGATCTACAATATATTTGTACGTTGTGGTGTACGTCGAGGTGTACGATGTATTCCCGTACACCGATGGGGTACGCTTTGGTGTACACGGTGGTGTATGTTGTAACCCCGTACACCGGTGGTGTACACGGTGGTGTACATTGTGTTCCCATACATTATTTTGTACATTGTTGTACGTTGTCGACATACACACCATTATCCAATGAATATAAGTCTAAGGCCAAGCAAAAACAGAATGTCGATGTAACTTTGGTGACCTTCTTCACATCCACATAACCTGTAAGTTCATAAAATTGTAGATAAACAAATCTTGTTTGTTTAAAATAGTATCATGTTTGATATTCGGCAGTATATTTTTGAAATAAAAAACATGAGGACCATTGAGGATGATGAAACCTCTATCAATGAACAAAAAAAACAAATGAATTTTCAATATCATATACACATAATTGAAAAGTCAAAGTTTTCTTCATCTTGTCGAATAACAGACGAGCTTCTCTAGTACAAATGAGCTTCTCTAGTCAAACAAAAATTCCAACAATATATTTGACTCGACTGCAGAACAATAAACTTTGCAAGGCACTCTGAAACCAAATCAAATAGATGGTGGAATTTTCCTTGAATTGAGTTTATACTTTTTAGGATCATAAAATATGTTTTTTCAGAAACATAAAAAATTGAAGATTCCGACCAAATCAGTAAAAAATTCCTGGTTTGGTTTCTTGATCTGGAGATACGGCGATGGAACTGATATCAGGACCAACGTTTTCCATCAAGGTGTCGGAATACGGAAACGATTTACCAACGACGGACAAAGCTTCGACTTCCTCATCTTCCGGTGAGACAGCGAACGAGGAAGGAGGTGTTCTGAGTCGTCCCGGAAGCGGAATCTGATCAGGAAAAACGGCGGATTACTCATCGGAAAGCTCATATTAGCGAAAGAGGATTACACGGCATCGATATATACTTGCAGACATGTGAAATCTAACCCAGATTTATATTACAAAATTGACACTTCTAACGCACAAGTTGGTCAATCGGTATCAATAAATTTTTAAGAAAACATTAGAAAATCCATATTTTTCTTTTCGTTTATTCAAAACAAAAATATAATGCTCAAAATCTTCGATGAAGAGTTTAATTAGATGCGGAAGATAGAGAAACTGAGAATAGAAAAACAAGTAGCGAAAGAGGCAGATGAGGAAAGAGAGAGAAAATAAATATTAAATCAATTGTTTATCATAAAAGGAATGAAGGTGTTTTTCGTCATTTTCTTTGTGTGTATTACATACCCACTTGTATTAGTGTAACAGTGTTATATGTCTATTTTCCCAATTGTAAATAGTAAACTGTCCATTTGGCCCATTTAACTTTAAAAACTGCATATATTCCTAATTAACCCTTATTTCTACGTCAGGTTCGGTTAAAAAAATTTTAGGTTCGGATCGATTCTGTGTCTATACTTGAACCCCGTTTATATGCACATTTTCTTTTAAATTCTTGTTTTTTGGATTTTTTTTTTTATTTTTTAATATATTTAAAATACTCATAATTACTTGAAATAACCGGAATTACCAAGTTAAATGAGTACATAAGCTTAAGTTTTTATTTTTCGGGCGTTTCAAGACA